ACTAAGTTGATGTATTCCCTCAGCGACCAGCACAGATCAGCTCTAGGCATGACGAAGCGGATATCGTCCTCTTTTGGAAGACCAAACAAAGTAGCTTCGCTTTCACAACGAAGCACACAGCGTCTTCAGGACATGGCGGCAGCGGCAACAATACTACAACGAGAATAAAAGTTACGCCTTCTTTCTTTGCGTGAACATTTGGGCGGCGTTATGCAAATCTTCCCACATAGTGACGTAGATATGTGGGGGCGTGTTCGAACGAGCCGTTTTAGGTAGGTGTGGCTAACTCTTAACTTTTATAAAGAATATCTCTTTGGATTTGAGACTTTAGTCTTTGCAACTTTACAGATCTTCTTTATGCACCAAGAGCTTGTAACACTCCAAAGAGAAAGGAAAAAATAAAATCGCATCATATGACCCCTTTAAAGGGTTTAGTGTATTATCAACCATAAACAAATATGCAGGTATTCACAAAGTCATTAGAAATCCAGTGGGAATAGGTCTAAGCCTGATACAGGAAATGTGAAAACACAGAATTTTGACTTCCTGGTCCAGAGAGAATGACAGAAGTTTCAAAGTGTAAATTATAATTTTAATTATTAAATGGATGCCACCTTATTGGTACAATAAAGCCCTCCCTACACCTACCGTAACCCTACCCGATACTTTATTTTCAACTTTTTGATTATTTCCTTAATTTTTATTGAAAATAAATGCCTTTACGATGTGATACGAGATTTGAAAAGGGAGAAGAAAAAAGTTCGGCAAAAGGCGGGATCGAACCCGGGTCGATCGCTTCAAAAAGCCAAGGAGTTGATGGTTTACAGCCACTTTTAACTAAAGGTAAATAGACAGCCCATATTTTTTATTCCAGGGTAAGGGCAATTCATACAATACATTTAAACTGAGCTGGTTCTTCCTGTATACGTTGATTGACAGATGTCTCGAGTGAGGTAGGTATGTGGGGGCGTGTTCGAACGAGCCGTTTTAGGTAGGTGTGGCTAACTCTTAACTTTTATAAAGAATATCTCTTTGGATTTGAGACTTTAGTCTTTGCAACTTTACAGATCTTCTTTATGCACCAAGAGCTTGTAACACTCTAAAGAGAAAGGAAAAAATGAAATCGCATCATATGACCCCTTTAAGATGGAATAGTTGGGAACATTTTGAAACAGTCTCACTATAATTTAGAGGCATTTCACATTTTTTAACCCCACCTTCACATTTACAATTACTAAACACAATGTCCAGACAAACGTTCAGTTTTCAGTTTCAAATTTCAGATTAAGTAGATAGCTGTTTAATCTTTTTATTTTAGTTCATCCACGAATCAGAGATGTGCTTTTATCTCTCGTTTTGTTTTATGGTTTTTATGTGAGGTTTTAAAGCGAGGTTGGGTTATGGTAAGGTTGGGGAATTTTTACTTTACAAATTACTGACATGGCCGATTCGCACGGGATTAAGATCACAGACAACCTCCGCAATTATTACAAATGACTGGAGGTCACCAGGTAATACTAATCCCGTGCGAATAGGGCTTTAGTCAGCCCTAATAAAACGTGATTAAATGTTAACCAGTAAAAACCATGATTAATCACTACATTATCTTTCTTTCTCTCTTAATTAATTTTTTTAGTTACTTCCAATTTATAATATATATATAGTATAGTGCTGTCAAATGCTTATCAGTTTTCTATCAGCTGTGACATATAAATCTGCATGTTTTCAAATCTGCCAAGGGCATTTTTTACCTTTATATAGGGCATTTCTTCACTAACCTCATTAATACTTCATCTTTCATTTCAAATTCTTACATTTAATCTATAATTTAAATTATAATAATGTGATTATTGTTATCTCTACGATATCAAATTAAATCATTTATACATAAAAAAATAAATTGCATTGAATAATGTTATGAGATTGTTTTAAATATTTTTTGGAATATACAAACAAGAAATGATGGCGGAAGTTATACTTTTAAACTAAATTAAAACGCCAGTAGGTGCCAGTAGTGAGCGTTTAATGAGTGAGTCACTGAGTTGTTCATTCAAGTGATTCGTTCAAACGACTGATTCATCAGATGTTTATGCATGGGCTATTGAAACTTTGACTCAACCGATTCGTTCAGAACACGGAATCATTCAGCGATGAATCGGCTGGTTTCTGTGAGATGCGCAGCGGTTCCGGTAAAATTGTAAGTGACCTAATATTATTGTACTTGCTTATTTAACTGTTTATTGAACTATTAAACAGTTCGTAATGGTGAAAACGTTGTGTGATGTTGCCTAACTAACTGTATTTTAAATATAAAAACTTTTCATTTTGATTTTTTTTTTACCTCAGCATGCTTACTTGTCTGGCGTTAATGAAGCGTTAATGTCAAGCCCCCGAGTCAATGTGCCGGGGCTGAAACCCCGGACGGCCCCGGCCCAATTTAAACCCTGTATATATATATATATTATACTTCAAATGTACCTGTAGACCCTTACGAAAAAGAAGTTTATTCAAGTGTGCTATTAGTATACTTCTTTTAAACTAAAAATAGGAAAGTATACTTTTAGTCTACTTTTTATGTACTTCTCAGAAATGGGCTTTATGTACTTCTCAGAAATATACTTAAAATGACATTTAAGTATACTTAACTTGTACTTAGAAAAAGTCTAAATATATTTTAGCTATAATTGTGCTCCTAGAATCCGTGTTTTCATTGTTATACTGTAGGGGGCGCTAGTACACATCTTCTGTACAGAATTTCCAAAAAACACAAGTGAAGAAGAAACCGAAACAACAGATGCTTCCACATGTATTCTAACACGATCATCAGACATAAAACAGCATCAAAACTATGTAACATTATGGAATAAAATGTCGACCAATAAAGAGGTAATAATAACTGTCAAGCTTTGGGGTGTTGATCGACTTTATCTACGTTTTGATTATCATTCTGAATCCAATTCATAGTCTTTTTTCAGCTTTTTGTTCAAAATGTTGTTTATTTCTTTATTTTTATTTATGAAACTTATCCACATTCAAGTGTTTAAAAAAAGAATGCATGAAGCTAGAATAAAATGTTTTTGTTTACAAGCAGATACCCTGTTCTTTTGATGTTTTGTATGTTCAGATATTCATGTAACAAAATATATACAAATTAATACCTAAATAGGGACATAGTAGTATACTTAAAGTATGATGTAAAGTTCACTTAAAGAAAACTTACGAGTATACTTGCAGTATAAAACTACTAAACTAGTAGTTTACTGAGACTATACTTCAAAGTGTACTAAAAATGCTACAAGTATTTAATTAGTAAACTATCAGTATACCTATAAGTTCACTTTTAGTATATTTGCAGTAGAAACTAAACATTTTGATGTAAACTAGTTGTGTACTCAAAGTTTACTACTGTTATACTTAAAGTATACTTAAAAGTATACTTTTATATACTAGAAAGTGGGCCAATTTAGTCCCAATGAGCATTGAAATACTTAGAACACTTACAAGTATACTACTAGTACACTGATATTTGTATACTTACTACATAAAGTATACTTAAAAATATACTTGAACTTTACTTAAGTATACTTAAATAAACTCGAAGTATACTACTTTTTGGTAAGGGGAGTTCTGAAAGTATTTAAAAGAAGTGCATATCTAACTTGCTTTCATATTTTCATCAAATCAGCCTGAAATTTATTTTTAACTTGAAATATTTTGTGAGTGTGCATTTTAATGAATATTAATTCATTAAATACACAAATACATTGCAATCAGGATTTGATTGAGAGTATAGCAGCACAAGAGAGACTGAGGCTCTGTTAACCAGGTTATATCTTTATTTTATGTTCATAATCATAAAAGAATGCATTTTCTCGCTATATTGCACAGTCATATAGTGACAATTCAGTGGTAGTTGCAAAATATGAGCACCAGGTGGTGATATTTTTTTTTATAAGCTTTGAATTTTAGCTGCTGCACAGTTTCCACCACTAGAGGCTGCTCGCCAACATATATGGTGCGGATCTCAAGATGGTAAAATATTCATCTTTTAAATTTAAGAACAGAGGGTAAATACCATAGACTGTATAAAAACAAAATACTGAAAAACTCCTTGGTTATCACAACAGCTTTCACGTCTCAGATCTATCTATAGCACTATTCCAATCATTCAGCTCAGCTTTTGTGTTGTTAAGCCCAAGCATCTCTAACATCTTTGTCCTCGACAAAAGAGTGGATAAAGTTGATCCAAACGTTACCCCTAACCGGAAAACCGCTGCAATGATGTAACTGCAACCTTTGCGGTTCCAAAACGGGGCACAGATACTTTACGCCGTCACCTTTGTAGCAATCACAATGGAGCATTAATGACGTAGTCAGGGGTTGTGAATGAACTTATTCATTTCAGCAAACTGAAAATACTTAAACGGCCTCTAGCTATATAGAGAGGAGACTGTGTTTTATTGTAACGCAGGGTAAGTTGTAACCAATTTTAACAGATTAAAAAATGAGCTCACTATCATACATCACCACCAACTTCCTGAGGTAACAGCAGACGTTGTATTATTATAGAAAATAATATTATGTATAATAATTACTTTGAACAGTGCATTTGATTACCTCGATAAATTTACCCATCAACAAAAAAGAGTTAAAGCTGTTAAAACGAATTGTGTTACGAGACTCTCTAACACATTATTTTTCTAGATGAATTAATCAAAGCTATATAAACGTGCGTGGATCTTCAAACATCTAAGCTTTCCCCCCCGCCTTTTAAAACCTAATACGGCTAGCTTTGCTCGTGCATATTAATGAGGCTCCTGACATCGTGCCGTAATTAATATTTAAGACATATGCCTTCGCCGTAGTAGAATGCGTAGTTTCTCTCCGCTCCTGGCTCAAGTAGACCAGTCCGTGTTTTTGCAAAGCCTCTCTCTATCCCACTTCAGCCTCAAAACCTTCAAAAAACCCACTAGCCTACCAAAAGGCATTCAGGAGCAGAGGAGGAGCAAAGATTTTCACTGAGAAACCTCCATCCCTGTGTGATCTCCTCTAACGGGAGAACTGAAGTGATGGCGGGTTGCGCGGAGGATTCGTGGATTTTCGCTTGACAGGCACCAGAATCTTCAGTTGGATTAGTTGATTGTTTTATTTATGGGGGATTTGCATTTACCTACTGAAAAATGCCCTTTGCCAAACGGATCGTTGAGCCCCAGCTGCTGTGCAGACATGCCATCCCTAATGATGAAGGGATACTGTTCGAGGATCTGTGCTCCATCACCAATGTGGCTCTATCCCGGACCCTGCGGCAGCTCTCCGACCTGTCCAAACACGCCTGCTCCTTATTCCAGGAGCTTGAGAACGAAATAGTCTCCACAAACCAACGGGTTTGGGCTTTGCAGAACAAAATAGGCAAAACCCAGCAAACCGCCAGTGCGCTGGATCCAAAACTGGAGGCTGTGCGTAAGTAGACTATTACGCGTAAATTATGGCTTGGAGATTTTATACACGAAAGTGTGATGTTTTGCAAATTATTGGAAAAGAATGAATGAATATGGTGGTTATATGTATCAGGTCACATGTAGACACTGCCTCGAAGCTTTGCCGAGCAAATTGTAATGTGTCACACGCCTGTATGCGTAACCAACACCTGCACCGTGACCGGTTGCGCTTTTCGCTCCGAAACGAAAAACGTCTTGACACACAGTAACCAGCCGCTGCATGTTGTTTTTAGTCTATATATGTTTGATCGTTAAGATTTTTAAGACGATAGGAGACAGTCTGGGTCGTTTTCAGCAGCTGTTTGGAGAGAGGGGCGTGTATGCCATGGTTATTTCAATAGGCACTGTTTATTAAAATGGATAAACGCAACAGCTATCTCTGCAGGTATAACATGATTTTCATTTTATTTTTTCGAGCATAGTAATAAGGAATCTGTAGTGTCTTTAAAACGCGTAATTGCATAATCACATTCGGCTGCGCTTGGATTGAAAAAATGTTTCCCCCAATTATTATGCTTATTTTTGCACATCCCATTATAAAGAAAATAAAATATTTTGTCCTTATGTCATATTAAACTGGCGCTGCACCCACCCAGCTGCTCCAACAGAATTAAATGCAAGATAAAGGATAAATCTAACCTAAAGGTTATCAGTGATGTGACATTTAAACAAGATGAGATATGATATCTTTTTCGTCCTCAAATAAAAATGACCATTTCATGAGAAAATTAGGCATTTTACATGAAACTTCCAGGTTGGGTGTGGAGAGAAAATAAATATGCCAGTTGCTTGGATGCAGCAATAAATGCAAAGCAACATCCACCTCATATCCATGATGAAATGTCTAATGCCCAGTGAAAAAGTGGTATCCATAACATATGTGATTTAAAAACCCTACTTCTGCTTCATTTCAACTGCATGGGCCGATGAAACCAGGCCCCTGCTTTGAAATAAAATGCTACAGCCTCAGCGCCCTTGTCAAGCCTCTGAGGAGATCATAGCCTCATGTGGATCATAGCCTCAGCGCTGGGTGCTGCTGTATAGCTTTTATTATAAGAGGATGTTAAGCTGCAGTGCATGGGGATAAGTCCAGTGCATAGATACAGCACTGAGAAGATGGAGATTTCCCTCTACTTTGAGGCAAAGAAAAACAAGCACATTTACAGACACATGCAATTAGTTCAAATAGGATCAAATTATTTCAGTTCGATGCCGTGTGACGTGTTTTGAACCCGGCCACGTCCAGGAATAAACTGATTTGACCCAAAAAAAGATTAAGCCATGTAGGTCAAGCTAGGACCTGCTGAAATAATCTCTTTCTCCCAGAGTGATTATTACCATCGGACCAAAACTACTTCACCCCTACAGCTCTCACAGTTGTTGCTCTGCTCCTTACAGAATCAGTGTGCAATAGTGTGTCATTTTTGAGGACTCGTTGCTATTTGTCAGGTTAAGGGGTTCATAGCATGCCATGGCCTTGTAGCTTGGCAGAATAAGGTGAAACTGGCAGTGTGTCTAGTTTTATTGGCGTACCTGGCTAGACTGACATCATCCCCGTCAGAATAAGTCAGTGTTTTCTTCTTGGCAATAATTAAAGAGCATTTGACATATGAGTTTTGCTTTGATTGATTGATGGGTAAGACGACAAAGATGTTCCTGTTTAATATGCTATCATAGTCCACAGTTTATAAGTGCCAAACTTTGATCTTGAAAATTTTATCATTGATGAAAATAATAGTCATTGTATTGACCACAAGCAATTCAGACTCACTTTTATTTAAAGCCTTTATAATTAAAATAATAAAAATAATATAAAAATAATTTTTAACAATTATAAATTAATTCAAAAATGTTCCCAAGTAATTAAACTTGTCTCTTTTTTTATTTAAAGCATCTGTATGTAGTTTTTGCGACTTTGGAGCCCCCTACAGTTAAGTGATTGGAATTCACTGTCGTAAATATATCACTGTGATAATTAGGGAAGATGGCTGCACGTGCATTTGTTGCTGCTGTAAAGCAATCCGCCCCTTTCGTGGAATTTCGTACCAATCTTATATACTCCCAGAAAGAACAGCCGTATGTGAGTGAGCGTGAGAAAGAAACAGAAGTAATTCGCCTTATTAGAAGTCAGTGTACCATCAGAATGATCTTGAAACTGATATTTCAAGGTTTAAAAAAGGACATACAATTGCTTTAACTATTTAAGCATTCGTTTTTCTTCTGGTTCTTGTTTCATAAATACATGATTCCCTAAATTTCTATATTAAATCAACATTATGGTGATGATTATATTCACTTTACACTCCAAAAGGCGTTCCCCAAACATCAAACACCTAAAGACGGTCAGAGCTTTATGTATACTGTAGTGTGGATTTCCGAGTTGAGCCCAAAATCCTGAGATCTCCAAAAGCCTGTTCCACATCAAAAAGGTACTGTTCATCCCGGTGTTATCCTGTAGTCTGGTTAATGTAGATAAAAGCAACTAATTGCCAAAAATGATGGAGTATGGACTATGTGTGTGTTTGTATGTCTCGTGATGAAAGGAGAACAGTGTTATGTTAAAGCCAGTTGCTGTGTTTGACTTTGCAGTCAAAATAAAAAGATTAAAAGCAAGGGTTTTTCAATCTTAAGCTTTGAGGAGCACAAATTTATGCCAGTCTGTAATTTATGCATTCTTTAACAGACAGGAAAATTTTGAGTTTCAAGTTTGACTCTTTCACTAACATTTAGGAAGCTGTATTTTATGTTTGAGAATTAATTATGACAAATCAGTGAGAAAAGGTGGAAAGAAATGTGACCTTGTGTTTGATTGGAAAACATTGGTTGTAAACAGTTTTGCTGGGAGTCTCCAACTGTCTCATTGTGTGGTTGAGGCGTGTGTCATAGCCCTCTATGGCTCGATTAGTGTAAACGATCCTAATCCCATAATTGCAATGTATTGTCTTGTTATTCCAGTGATGGCATGTGGTGCCAGGAACGACACCCTCCTGAATTTGAATGGACAGTTGGCCTGTAGGCAGGGCCCTCATACAACTTTATTTGTGACCTTTGCTAGCTTGCCTCTTTACATTCACTCCAGATCAGGTTATTTTACTAAATCTAAAAGAAAAACTGAAATAAACTATAAAAAAGTAATGTATTTTTTAAAAAAAACTAAGACTTAAATAAAACTATATAGACATTTAAGAAAAATGTATTCACTGAAATAAACTATAAAAAATTAATGTACCAAAAAACTAAGACTGAAATAAAACTATATGGACATTTTAAAAATATATTTAAAATGACAAAAACACAACTTATTAGAAAAGGTTTTCCCAAGGAAACCTTGTTGCAAACATCAGCCTAATGGCGCTTTTCAGGCTCAGTACGGCACGGCACGGTTCGGCTCGGCTCGGTTTGCGTTTCCACTGCAGTTCAGTACCGCTTTAGAGTGGGCGGGATTATTCACATGTCGTTATAGTTGCGCCGCCTCTACTAGCACGACTCCTGAAAAAAAAACTTTTTCATTCCGCGTCGCCCCATTAAGCTCTCGCTGGATCCGCTCCTCTGCTATCAACCTAGAGGAACGTATGTTCTTCCGCAACGGACAACAAAACTTTTTGGTTGTGCTGATTTAAATCTAGCGGTTCTTTTGCGTTTGTGTCGCAAATTCAGTGACGCAGGTAGTGACTATTCTCTCCGGCCAATCCGTGATCAGCAGAGTTTACACGTCACGTTTTGGTAACGGTACGGTTCACTTGGAACCCCAACCGAGGTGGTACTAAAAAAAGTACCAGGTACCAGGTACTGTACCCAGTGGAAAACCCCCCAAAAGTGAACCGTACCGAGCCGTACCATGCAGTGGAAAAGCGCCATTAGAAACACACTATGTACAGCACAGTAACCCAGAGTTACAATAAATAGACATAAGGGACAATAAACAGTCTATATACAAACAATAGACAAAGTCAGCATAAAATGGCTAGTGCAACATCCGGTAACAATGACAGTTGTGTGAATTGTTATTATTGTAATTGTCACAGTTTTAAAATAGCTGGAGTGAGGTGGATTGTTAAGGTATCTAGAGCTACATATGATGCAATACATGGGAAGGGGGTCCATAGGAGTCCTGTTGCTGTGTCATGTGTGTGTAAGCTGTCAGATAGTGTTGCTGACGGTTCTTACACCTGAAACTGTTCGTAAGTTTTGAGGTATTTGCATAAACGCTCCTTAGACTTGGTCCTGGTCTGTTCTTTTAATAAGAGATATTCATTCCTGAAATCTTTGAGCAGTGCATTAAAAGTGATGATAAGTACACATTGCATAACAGCCCAGAATAGGAACAGCTACAGTACCTCACACAGCATTGTGTCTAGTCTTGGATTTAATCCATTCTAGGACCGTTTTTTCTTTCTATCCTAGAAGTAAGAAGGCCTGTGATCTGTCCTCCCCAGCGAGGATGGGTAGAAATTACCTTGCCTGCCCCTGGACCTGTTTAATTAGACAAGACCTCTCCCAGAGCATACAGCCATTTGCAGGTTTTACTAATGAAGGGAAAAGATCAGACTGAGGAAAGTCGATGAGAAACACTTTTGACTTGTTACGTTTAACACCCATGCCAACGTGTTTGAGATTGGAACAGATTCATCTTTATACTGTTGAAAACTGCGCCTGTAAGACATGAGGAAACCTCTGAGGTTGACTGGTTTTTTTGCTTGCAATAATTTTATGCAATTTTTGCATAAAAGAACTCGGTGAAAACAGGCTACATGTAGTGTTATAAAAATACTAATGCTATCACAATTAATCGTCATTAATGGCATTCAAAATAAAGTTTTTGTTTACATAATATATGTGTGTGTACTGTGAATATTTATTATATATATATACACACACACATGCATATATTTAAGAAAAATATGTTATATTTGTATTTGAAATATATTTATATATAATATAAATTATATAAATATAAATATA